ACACAGCTTGTTCCATTATGTTTTTCAGGTTATTAAAGAAACACTAAAAGGGACGATCCTGGTATTTTTCCGTAGTCTTATAGCTTGTAAAATGAATGCCTTACTACTTATTATAGCAGGTTTATAAGGATAAACTGAAATGAAGGAGTCTTGGTTTTCTGACTGCATAGTTATCAAAGCTCATCTTGTACATGGCTTGGTACCCAATCTGTAGCTAGTCTCTAGCTCATTCCCTTCTTCCGAATGTTGGAACGCTGCAATCACTGTTTTGCTGTCAATGCAGATGAAAATTCCACCATCCTATTCACGTAGCACCCCGCTTTTTCCGTATCTGGTTCCGCAACACCTGACGTGGACCTTATTACAGTTCTCTCTCTGCGTTAAGCTTGGTTAGCAAGGACCTTTACTGGATACAAACACTGCAGGTGAGACTCAAACCTGCAACTCCTATTCCAAAAGCATGGAGACTTACCACTACACTGCCCAGCTGCTTTTATTCCTGCTTTTATTTCTGTTTATTCATATATGCATATATATATCTATATTGTAACAGGGAGAGTGTATGAAATAAGATCTGCCTAAATAAAATGACATATGTTACATTAAAAATAGAAAAGATGTGTGATAAAGGTACGCCTAGCCTGCCTCCAAACAGCTGAGAAAGAGTGAAGGCAAAATTGACACAACACACAGACAAGAGAGTATAGTAGTGTAGAGACTAGAGTAGTGGTTAGACCACACGTCTTTGGAGCAGAGGATCGCAAGTTTGATTCCCACCTGGACTGTCTGTATCTTAGGCTAGGCTAGACTCGACTCCCCACCCCCCTGCTAAGCGATCAACAAGGTCTTTGTCAGGTGTTGTGGAACCAGGGCACCCTGACAAGAAGGGAGGTACAAATTAAGTGCTATGGCAAGGGGGCGCCAGGACACCAGATCAGGGGGTGTTATCATGGTCAGGGGGTGTTATCATCACCCCCATATTAGATCACTACAATAGGGCAGCAGTGCTTGGCTAAAAGGGCTAGAGGCTAAGATCTAGGTGTCAAGAGATGGATGCAGTGGCCGTGATGATTCACTGGACTCTGAGACCATCACAGTGGCAGACTGTCCACTGACCCTCTTGAAATGTATTCTTCTTCCAGGGCACAGCAAAAAAAAAAATCTTCATGTAGGCTATTCAGTGGATCATCATGGCCACTGAGTCCATCTCCAGCTGTTGACACCTTGGTTCTGTGGTCTTGCTTTTGATCTCTCTGGTGTAGTTGTCGCTTGCCATATCTCAGCTATGGTTCCTGTACTTCTGCAACCTCCCGATGTGCTACCTTGATCTTAGCCTCCTGCCCTTTTAGCCAAGCATCTCACTGATTACTGCTGCCCTATTGTAGTGATCTAGTTAGTCTTGATAGACATTAACATCTAGCAGACCTAATATGGGAGTGATGATAACTCCCCCTGACCTGGCATCCTGGCGCCCCCTTGCCATAGCACTTAATTTGTACCTCCTTTCTTGTCAGGGTGCCCTGGTTCCACAACACCTGACAAAGACCTTGTTGATCGCTTAGCAGGGGGGTGGGGAGTCGAGTCTAGTCTAGCCTAAGATACAGACAGTCCAGGTGGGAATCAAACTTGCGATCCTCTGCTCCAAAGATGTGTAGTCTAACCACTACTCTAGTCTCTACACTACTATGCGCTCTTGTCTGTGTGTTGTGTCAATTTTGCCTTCACTCTTTCTCAGCTGTTTGGAGGCAGGCTAGGCGTACCTTTATCACACATCTTTTCTATTTTTAATGTAACATATGCCATTTTATTTAGGCAGATCTTATTTCATACACTCTCCCTGTTACAATATAGATATATATATGCATATATGAATAAACAGAAATAAAAGCAGGAATAAAAGCAGTTGGGCAGTGTAGTGGTAAGACTACATGCCTTTAAAATAGGAGTTGTAGGTTCGAGTCTCACCTGCAGTGTTTGTATCCAGTAAAGGTCCTTGCTAACCAAGCTTAATGCAGAGAGAGAACTCTAACAAGGTCCACGTCAGGTGTTGCGGAACCAGAGACGAAAATACCGAGCTGCTACGTGAATAGGATGATGGAATTTTCTTCCATAAGTGTGTGTATGCAATCAGGACTCCAGATGCCTCTGTGATGACTTTATGTTTCTGTAAGTCTTGGTAACACACGCCCTTTCTTTAGCATTAAATAACTCGTCAAAAACAACCATATCAGAATGATTAATATAAGAGCAAACCTCACACTTTGCCCCCCAAAATGTGTACCTGTCATCTGTTTCAGTGAGAGGTGATCATCAGTCTTTCTGAAATGTAATTCACCATGCCGTCATTTTATACAACACGTTCTGCTCTGCTCTGAAATAACTCGAGAAATGGGTTGAACATTGGTTCAAACACGCAGATTATGCAGAATGTTTTTACAATTTAAATCCAGCACCAGTAACCAAAGCTGAAACTAAGAACGAAGATCGATCAGGGTAAAAACCAAACATTCATCAGGATCAGCGGTTAAACATGGACCATTTGTTACCTTGAATAATTTCACTTTTTCATAATGAGAGGCACAAACTGGGGTTTGTAGGGTGCTTTGGAAAATGTTTTGGTTGTAGTTTAGTTGCAGTCCAATAGGCTCTCGTAACCTGGCTCCAGTTAAGGAAGATTTAGGCAGGCTGTG